TTGCCTTCAAACCCGATACGGAGCATAAGGCTGAATGCTCTTAAGACCCATCAAGAGGAAGTGCGGCCCCGCTGCTGGCATATATATGATTTCATTGGCAGGTAACCATCCAAACGTCCACTCTATTTGACTGGCAGTGAGGGACCGAAAGTATGATGTCCAACCCGTGAGTCCTTCAGGCAGGCTGACCCCCTTAATCCTCGTATAAAACTCCTCTATACAGGTTTTCTCTGTAGACCCATAACTCAGGAACTGAGGACGATGGCACAGGTGTTCGGTCATCCACATTTGCAACAATAGATTGCACCCCTCAAAGAAGTCTCCTCCGGCTTTGCAGGCTGTAAGAGCGTGGAAGATTTCGGCTAATATCATGGGCGCAAGAGTGCTTTTGGCTTGAGTGAGTAGAGTGCTGATGACCCCAACTATTTTATGTCAATGTTTCCATCTTTCCTCGGGAATACCAAAAGCCCCAAAAAGACCACCATAAAAGCAAAACGCCTATGTTCTTCCCATTTTTGGCGGTTTCCTTTGCTACATATCTTGTTTTCCGGGTTATTGAACCCTCCTATATGGCCATATCTGTGGTATATGAAGTGCGGGGTACAAAAGCCATTCGCCAGATATGGGTTGTGGACCGTCCTGCTTATCTTCAGTGAGTCTAAGAATCTGTGCACAACTACAGTTCTCGGGGCAACCAAGTACTTGTGTCTTAAAGGAACCTCGACATTTCCGATGTATCCAGCTATTTCTTCTAAGGTCGGGGTGAGTTCAAAGTCTAAAAAATGGAACACGTTGTGTGCCGGGTCCCAGCATGTGACCAATGCTCTTATGATGTCTCCCCGAGGCACAATCTCCAACAAACCGGTAAGCCCTTTTAAATATTTTTTGACTTCATCTTGCCCTTCTCCTCCTAGATCGTTCCACCATAGAAGCTACTCCAAAGGGATTTTATGCATGATTGAGAAAGGTTCATTTTGAATCGTGTTCATCCTGCACATTTATTAAGGTGATTTAATCACTTATTTTGACCTAAAAGGGAAAAATGACACTATCTTTTTATTCAAATTTCTAATTTAAAACAGACAGCCGGTTTTGCGGATACGGCCTTGTAGCACTTCGAGAAGAAGATTTTAAGGTTGTGCCCGCTAACCGTTGAAAATGACCCAAGGTGGCCGTTCTCGCAAAAACATCCTTCCGGCGCCCTTTTAGGGGCATTCGGCTTGTTTTAGACAAGAATAGCCTCACCTGACTTATTTATGACAAAATAAAATTTTTTGTTATTTTGGGCTATTTTTGCAAAAGGGCAGTTGGACCCGATGAGGGTTGCCTACGTATCCCACATCCTGTGAGAATCAAACTTGCGTAGTTCGGGCAAATAAAACTAACTATTTTCGAAAACAAAACTCTTTTTCGTTGGCAAATACACTATTTCTGAAAACAAGACTCTTTTTTATATTTTTTTTTTCAGTGGCAAATAAAACAAACTATTTTGAAAATAAAACTCTTTTTGTTTTTCTTTTCCATTGGCAAACAAAACAAACTATAAAAATACTTTCTTTTTTTTTTCTTTCATTTTTCTCCAAAATCCGGCAGAGTTTCGGCACTACTTGGACATTGATTTTTCTAATATAGGTTATTAACTCTCTACACTGCTATTTTCTCTTTTTCTCTTTTTGTTTTTCAACTTTTCCAGATATTCAAAGCCGGTCAACATGCGAGTCCGAGACAAAAAAATGTACACGCAACATGTAAGATTCATCAGGATGGTCTTTTTCATTTCAGGTTACCTGTCCTAGACGGACCCAACCCCTGTGTTGAGTCCCCTAAGTCATATGCACGTGATGCAAATAAGCGTTCCTACTAGGGATCCGGCATGAAGTCAAGTTATTCTAGGTTCAAAACCTGGGTATATGTTCTAGATTGTGTACCCGAGCGGACAACTCGAGTCGAGGAGGGGGCTACGTACCGGGAACCAAAAGGCCATCCGGCTTAGTAACTTGTCCGGCCTCTTTCTTATTTTAACGTATGACACTAACAGAATAGGGAGTCTCAACCAGTAAGCACATCCCCGGAGATGAGAAGAGAAGGGTTTCGTCACAGTTTATATACAATTCAAATAATATCAAAGCAGTAAAGCATTTAGCACATTTAGCATGAAACATGTAGGAAAATCAGATAAACCCAAATACAACAATATATCTAAGCTCGAATTCTGAACCCTGAACCGATGTTCTGGGTTCTTGTCCCCGGCAGAGTCGCCAGAGCTGTCACACCTCGTTTTTCCTACACCCCACAAAGGTGTAAAGGAGTTTTTCCAATTAAAGGACAATCGAAACGGGATTTGTCTATTAAAATTCAGAGTCGCCACTTGAGAGATTTATGGTGTCCCAAGTCACCGGTTGAATCCCGAATCGAGGAAAAGAATGACTCTGTTTAACAGTCTGCGAACCAGAAATCCGGAGTAAGGAATTCTGTTAACCCGGGAGAAGGTGTTAGGCATTCCCAGGTTCCGTGGTTCTAGCACGGTCGCTCAACTGTCATATTTGGCTCAACTGTCATATTTGGCTTATTCACTTGATTTTAGTACATGTTTTAACCTATGTGCTTTTTAACTTAGAACCGCTATATTATTATTATTATTATTATTTTAAAGAGACTTGCAACGTCGTGAAAACACGTCTCGAACCACGTCACATAAATGCACCCGTGATTTTTGACACGTTTCGACTTCGTTGGGATTTGGATTTGGGTCACATAAATGTGCACCCGAGTTTAGGAAGGTAATATTATTAAATGCCGGGCCTAAAGCAACTAGCGTATTATTAACTTTGTGGGAGGCCATGAAATTCGCTAAATGGCTCTTCCCGAGGACTAAATATTTTATTGAAATAGTTAAGAGGGCCACGCTATTTATGCATTTTTATTTGGCGTGGCGCGCCTCGTTTTATTTTTAAGGCCAACCTAAAAGAACTACGATTTTCTGTCAAATATTATCTCTAAAAGGGCCTAATTAACTGGTATTACTAACTGAAAATTAGTAGGCAACCCAAGAATGGTTTTCAGCAAATT